AATTCAACAATTTCTGTCAACATTTCTATGTTAAGAACATGTAGAGCTTTCAATACTTTCTTTCATAGAATGGCTGTCAATACACAATCGTCCGAATAGAAAAAGAATTGAAAACATACATATTCATTTACATTTTTAAACACTTTGTTGACTTTCAAACGAAAGAGAAAAATGAAAGCGTATTCAATGAGTAATAGTCTAGAAATATTTATTGTGGCTGAAAGCTTACCTTTGTCGTGATAAAAATTCAAGAAAATATGTTTCAAAAATCACTGACATTACTCTGTCGGACAAATATTTCTGGTGTTGGTCCATGAAATTCATACAGCTTTCATGTTTCATTATAGAAATAATTGAAATCGTAGATTTTCATTGTTATATGATAGATTCAACATCTAACGAAACAATCATAGTTATCTGCAATGATATTTACATCATTTTTTTTTTGTTTAAAATTTTCATTTTATTATCTGCAGTATGTTTGATCAAATTGATGTCTTCTAAATAACAAATAACATAATATTCTAATAATTCATTCAAGGTTTTATTAATCGATCAATCATAGATCTTTTTTTTAAAATTGCGTTAGCAGACAATTAACTTTCTGAAACTATTCAATAAATGACTATGGAATTATTTCTTTTATATCTCAATTCCTGTAAATGACCATTGTATTGCGACTATGAAAGAAGTTAAATTCTAACATATTAGAATTGGGATTTTCGAATATGTCAAATACTTGTATATGTTAATGAAAAGAAAAATAACTTTCTGTCATATAAAAGTTACTCATTCATTTAATTAATGGAAATTGATGAAGAAACTAAATAGTATCTGAAAAAAATCATACTATAAACAAGACGTACTTAGGGCGATCATTTCCACAATCCAAAACGGCTCAAAAACAACGTATTACTGAATTGATTTTCATCATCTTTCACTGTAATTTGTCACTTCATTCTATGAGTTTAAGGAAAACGACGACGTAATGATATCGGTGTTCTAGTGTTTCCGACCGCATACAGTATTGTTCTTCTTAACCTGAATACTTAAGATTATGAACATAACATATTTCATAGTGAAAATAAAATTATTCTTACCGTGAGACTTATATTATAATCAAGATTGATTAAACAAAGTTCCTCTTACCGACTAACAGTATTAACAACACAATAACAATGTAATTATTTCAAAATATACCTGCACAATGTCCAATTCAATACTGTTTTGAGATAATAAAAACATTAACTTTATGAAAGAAATTACATATGTATGAAATTTTTTTCTTGAGAATAGAACTGTCAAAGAATAAATAATTCCAGTTCACATTGTATTCGTTGGTTGGCCGTGAAACAGTCTTTAGTCAACAAAAAAACACAATGAAAAAAAAAACATAACAGTTGATTCTTTAGAGAGTGTTTGTTTGAAAGACGTTGTAAAAAGATCTATAAGAGCAATTTATAAAATCAGTGTCATTCTATGTACGAGTGCTGCTATTCAATTGAAATATTAAGATGAAGGGTGTAGATGAGGGCAACTGTGAGTATGGACTGTAGGATAAAAGTGACCTTGTTGTCTACCGCATCTGCACCCTATCTGTATATACACTATTTAATAAGGCTTGATGAATAGTGCGAAAATATTAGATAACACAGATAGAATAGGTGGTTAAAGGTCGAAAGGAAAAATGTCGAAAGGCAAAATATCGAAAGCAGATTGTCGAAAATCTAAATCCTTTTTGGTCACAGATTTCGCCCTCACCCTCACTGTTGTGCTCTGTGAATGTGTACCGTATTACATTCTATTGATCAAATCTTAGAAAAAGTTTTTCATCAAGGATTTACAGGGGTTCATAATTTTCTACATTTTTTTTTCTACATTTTCACTTTCTACATTTTCCTTTCGACATTTTGACACTTTACCCATAGATAGACTTATTTCGAATAGAGAAGCTTTCTAAATCAAAAGTATTGCTTTTCATGTTTCTTATAATCAGCTTTTTTTCCGAGTATACCGTTGATCCAGGCAACCTTTTCTTCATAACGACTCAATATAAAATTAATAATTTTTTTTATTAAACAGTAGACAGTTAGGACTTGATCATAATAGAGCCTAGTTTTTGAATTTCTCTTTTTCAGAAATAACAAGCTTAGATCTTTCATTCTAAATAACGACGTTTTTGACCATGAACTTGTGTTGTTTCGAAAAACTTTCTTCCAAAAACAAACAAAGGGTAGTTCAAAAATCGAGCTATATAAGGACTTAGTTCTAAGTATACTTCACAATTTCAGAATCACCCTGACATATTAGCTTGTATTCTCATTTTGAAAACCTTGGCCACATAACGGGTTAGTTTTGTACGCTGAAATGGCAGCGACTCTTGAACATCATGGAAATCTGCTGGAAATAGTTTACCTATAAGCTATTCTAGTCAAGGCTAACATTTCCTGAAATTTTTGTTGAAATCAGATAAAAAACTTTATTTCTGAGAAGGACCCTTAATCAAGTTTCTAAAAGATAGTACAATTAAACTAAAGACATGTAGGTACTTGTACTTGCTCAGGCAAAACTCTAAGGCTATAATATGGTGGCTGAACTGACGAAGTAAAGAGTAAAATGATATTTGCTGCTTCGTATGGCATGTATTATTTATATTGTCATTAGAAGATAATAAGTAATGTATTCATGATGTATCTAATAATACAATCAAGGCAATCTAATAAAATGATAGAATAGTAATTCTAAGTGTAACTACTTTCGAAATAATAAAATCTCAGAGCATACGTGGCAACTATAAAAATTGTTATAACTTTGATTTATTCGTTCATTTGACATTTTTTTAAAATAAACTAATGCTACCAAATGGAACAAAGACTTTTATATCATTAAAAAACCCATATATCAGAATATATGTTGCACTATTTAAACAATTAAAAAGTACACTTTCAATTTTTCACTTAATGTGCCCGCAGTATGACGGCGTCAATTAATTAACTCATTATGAGACACATTTTTCAGGAGTACTACTCGAATGATTGCAGAGATATTTGCCATTGTTATAACAACAAGAAAAAACAATACTAATTGCAAACTGTATCATATCATATATGTTGACGATTTACGTTTAAAAAGAAATACGAACTAACACATCTATTATAAGTATATTTCCATGTAGTGGTACGTATTCAACTGATACCATAAAATACAAAATAAAATATGAATATTCATAGAAAACGAAACGTTATTGATATAAAATGAATAGATTCGCTTTTTTTCATATGTCATCGGTATGATTGTATGAAAATGAAACTGTTTTTAATAATAACAACTTATAGACAACAGTAAATCGATAATTAATTGAAAAAAAAATATCAAGAATAAATCACATATGATTTTTCAGACTTGAACAAAAACTAACATATCAGAAATTTGAAAGATAAATACAAGAATAATGTTTTATTTTTTTGACCTATTTAGTCGTAGTCCACAATGTATACTTTGTATATGCACCATTATTAGGCATACAAACTATTAGGACAATTGGTTGCATGGCACATTAATCTTAAAGTATTATGAAAGGGCATTGAAGATGGATGACTGAGGGTAGACGAAAGATCCTCACTCTCATTAACGTGACAAATTGTCTTATAATGAACCATCTGGTCACCAGGAGAACCTGGATATTTTTAAAAGAATTTCCTGTATCCGCTAATGAGATATTTATTAAGTAGAAGACAATAGAAAAACTAATTGGTTGTTTTTCTACTTTGTTGTTGTAACATAATTAATTAATCGTACTAATCACACAAACGTTTACAAAGTATATTTCACTTCAAAGAGAAATTTGAAAAAAAAAACACAATTCTTTTATTATTTAAGGACGATAATAATATAAAAAAATTCTTCTAATTAATATTTTCAATGCGATTGATTATAGTAAAAAAATATAGAATTCAACTAGGCATCATAACATACTTCCAAATATTTAGCGATTTTTTTGTCTGCCATTCGTTAAACTATTTCAGTATATTAACTCGATCTTATTCAAATACTATCAAACATCTTCATATAGACTAAATAATTCTATACATTTTCAATAAATTCATATTTGAATAGAAAAAACTTTTACATCAAAATCATATATAACAATAAATAACTATCTTGAAATTTATTTCTATTAATAATAATCTTTGAACTTCATACATTTTTTTTTATAAACTATTTTTCTTTTCTAAAGTACAGCCATCGATAACCATCCAGCTATCAGAAGAACTCCACCGTATGGTGTTACATGACGAAATCGAGTATCATTTCGTATTGCATGATAATATATTGGACCACAAAAAAGCGTAAGTCCACCAATAAATAAAGATCCTGTAATCGATGGTCGTGAAGCAAATGGTACAGCAAGTAATGCCACTGTATGAAATAAATGATATGTTTGAGCCAATTGAAATAACTTCAAATGAGCAAATTACAATCGAAAAAAAAACGAATATTTTTTTTTTCTTAACATACCCGTCGAAGATCATCTGGAGTATTTTCTTTCATAATATGAGCTCCATAAACACCTAAACATATAGCTAATGTACCTGATAAACCAGCACAACGAATGAAATTTTTCATTGTTGGTGAAAGAGTTAAACCACGAATCATTGACTGGTTTGATATTGCTGATGAATAACGAGGTAGAATTCTAGAATTTCGTTTGATTTAAATTATATGATTAAATTAATGAAAGAATTCTTTTTGATCTTTTCCTTCTTCTTTCAATAGACTTCTTAATACACACCCAAATATTTTTAAAAAACTCTTAATCCATCGAGTAAAATCTCGAATAAATAATAAATACATAAACACAAACAAAAGAATATCTGCAAAAATAAATTAAAACAATATATTTCTCTTGAATCAATAAAATTTTTAAAAAAATTCAAAAATTGTTTTTTTTTGTGGTCTCTTATAAAAAAAAATAAACAGAGAAAATGAAAGACATCTGGTTATTCACGTCGGAAAGCTTTCCATTGTTCAATTGTTTGTTTTAATTCATTTTGTGGTATCACATCTTGCATACGTAATGGATTTCGATTAAATGGATCAGTTTGATCACTATATTAAATAATATAAAAATATAACGCGTGGTTTATAAAGAATGGAATATTTTTCTTGAGTAGTGCAAACATAGTTCAGAGATTTCTTTCTTAGCTCATTCATTAGAGAATTTTTCGTTCTACAAAACCAAATCAGTTGTATATAAAGATAATTCCTTCGTTTACAAAGAAAAACATGAAACGTGAAGACATGTAAAACGTTATACTGATATCACATGTATAAGTTGAAACCGTATAAAAAGATTGATTCATTCGGTGAATCATTTTCTTCTTCAGATTGAAAAGAAATCGGCATGATAACACATATCATACGTTTGTTTGCACCTATCGCCTGTATACTGCAGTACTCATACGAACTAATGGTAGCGCTTATGACTTTGGATTTCACTTATACACAATTGTCGAGAGTTTTTTTCTATCTACATTTGAATTATGTATTAGAAAGAATTCAAATTAATCGAGAAAAAAACAGTTTCAGAATATAGTTTATTGATAAAAATGTATTCCAGTGCCATCTATAATAAAAATTTATTTCATAGCAGAGATTCATGTAGGCTCAGTGGCTTAGTACAGGTGATTCAGATAGATCAACAGCCATTTAGATGAATTTACAACAATGTAGTTCTGTCAGTTTTAATAAACTTCAAAAATATTCACTGATTTTGATACAACACTTTCAAAAAAAAAACTAGTCGTAGTTATTAAATAAGAATTGAGACAAATTGCATGGTGTTATAAGATTAACCATGCAAAGAATAATTAAAAATGATTTCAGTTTCAAATCATATGTACAACGTGCTGTTCTGAAGCTAGCAAATGCGCGAAAGCAAAAAAAAATTCTCGTTTAGTATATAAGCAAGGACCAATGCTACAAAACCTTTATACCCAGACAAAATTTTCTTTTCATGCGAAAAACTATTTAAAATTAATGGCGTAGACAAGCGTTAAAATGACAGGTATAGGCTTTACATCGTCTAATACAAATAGAAGAGTGCATCAGTAAACAAGATTTCCTCATGGTGTCACGGTGGCATCTTGCCTCCTGTTATTATCGAGAAAGATACGATCAGTCATCAACGCTATATTTATGAGATATTGCCAATTGCATTGTAAGATGGAGTACGGTCACACACGAATCACCGTACTCAAACATGGTGCAAATATCATTTCTAGTTGACATCATCAATGGCTGCTTAACAGCCTCAAGTGTTCAATCTAGGAGAAAGTAACCAATAAAATAGACCTTTAATGGATACAATTCGTGTTGATATAAAACAGATTCGACTTCATATTGTTTGTCGCAGTATTGGTTTGTTCGACTAAAAAAACGTTTTTCGTATACTCTGAACTATGTCTGCACTATTCACAACAATAGATAATAAAAAAAAAAAGTATTTCATTCTTTATGGAGCACTCGCTAATTTTCAATGAAAATTAAATCTTCATTTCTAACCTAAGAAGATGTCGTGCAATAGTTGTTCGATCGAGTATTTTTCGAGAACTTGGTAACATAACAGGATCACTCATTAATATACTTGTAATCGGATCGAGATATTCATCAGGTGCATCATCATATGCAGCTTCTTCTTCTTTTTGTTCAGCAGCAACTTTCTAGAAAGAAAGAAAAAAATCAACAATCAAATAGAATAAAGGAATGAGAATTTTACTTTAATACGTTTACCAAGTTGTAGAAATTCATCGATTCTTTCAGATGGATATTGAATTCGTTGAAGTACTTCAACAGCTTGTGGAAAAAGTTGTTCATTATACGACCTTTAAAAAAGAATAATATTTATTTTACGTTACAATATTCTTTTTTTCTTACATTCCATCATTTGAAACAGCTACACAAAATTGATTATATTGAGAAAAATTTAAATAAATATCTGTTACTTTAGCCACAAGTTTTGGTGGATCAAATAAGTATTCATTTAAATCACGTACTTTTAAATTTCGTCGTTTAGGTCCAACCTAAATATAAATAAAACCATTATAGAAAAAAAAATAATAAATAATTATGACGAACTAGATGTTGTAAACAATAATTAAGCATTGCAGCAAGTCGTTCACAAATAGCCGGATGACAAAATATAGATTTGATTTCTTGTGTTATCATATCGAAAATGGTAAGCTAGAAAATCAAGATATTTATTAAATTTTGATTTGTAAAAGTAAATTTTTCAGAAGCCATTATTTCTGTTTTTCGTGAAACACGATCGAAGAGCTTTGCATCCCTCTCCAAAGACCTTTGCAGACTATATACTACCAACATTCCAGTGGAATATATAAACTCATTTATTATTATTATGCTTCAATTTAAATATAAGAGCTATGAAGAGAGATGTTCACTCATATTTATCTATTCTAAGGAATAATCTTCCAATAAATTAAATTCTCTCTCTCTCTCTTTCGAAGTACTGTTTTATTCCATATATATATACATGCATACGTCTATTACGAGAATTATTCTTGACAGTAAGGTTTTTCTCTTTTGATATTCACCGTTTTAATTCCCATTATATTCATATAACGTGCTATTCGACCAGTACGTTGAAATGTGTTTTCAAGTTCTTGTCGTTGTTTGTCAGGCATTTCATTCCATTCACCACGTTCTTTTGCTTCTTGATCTGCTCTCAATCTTGCCATATACTATATAAATAAATATGAAAAAAGAAATTTCTTTTTCTTTTTTTAATATGTACTGTTAACGCTTCATCTAATAAAAAATTTGCATCATTCATAAGTAAATTAATAAAACGTAAGAAAAGTGGAGCTTCAGCATCATCAATATGTCGTTCAGCATATGACGCAAGTTTCTACGAAAAAAAAAATTATTTATTTAACTTAAAACAAAGTTAATTAATATAACTTTAATTTGTATTCGATGTTTATCAAATTTCCAAAGATATTCAAGTATATTATACATTGGACGACGATAATTAAATTTTTGTTCAAATGCAACTCCTTGTCCAGTTAATTCAATTGATACAAATACATCAAGAAGTGCACGTGGTAAATGTTCAATTAATGGATATTCTTGAAATATGGTTTCAGTATATGAACTAATAATAAAACAAAATAAAATACGAATAAATTTATTAATAATTAAATAACATGAATTAACTTATTTATGATTCGACTATTATTGTGTTGTTCATTTGGTAGAATATCTTCAAGTACGTCAGCTAATGTTGCACGTAAATGAGGATTACGTAAACGATTCATATCACCCATAAATACAAGTATAAGATTAATATATTCAGTGATTGATGATTCCATTGACTTGAGAAAATAAAATAAAAATAAAAAATAAAAAGTTTGTAGTTTCATTGTTGTCATTCTTAGAAATGTTACTTGAAATAATTGTATGTTATATCGAGTAAGAAATTTAAGATAATCAATTATATTTTCGATAATAAATTCTGGAATATAACTTAATTGTCGATTAGGTTCAGATGTTAATGGTAATTTCTTAAGAACATTCATTTGTTCTTCTCCGTCTGAGTTTTGTTGATGATTAGAAGAAGATGATGCAAGATGAACAAGCCATGAACATGTAGCTGTAAATAAGGCATTCGATAATTCCAATAAATAAGGTTCATTTAGCACAGTTTTAATATTTAAAAATGCAGTGAGACCTATGAATAAATATATCACAACAATAAAAATAAAATGTTATTGATCAAATGCAAGACTTCAGTTAACTTAGATATTGATTTTTAGAAATAGCATTTTAGAATTCGTTATTTTTGAAATAAATTTTCATGCAAAGATTTAATATTAAAGTTCTTTTTTTACATAGTAGGATACTTTCATCAGTCGACTTTTTCGTCTTTTTAATTTAGCATAAATGCAAACTTCATACTTCTTTACAAGAAATCATTCTGATCAATACTGATGGTTAATGTGATTTGTTATAAAGTAACTAAGCTTAATAATGATATCTAAATGTACACTGATTCATGTTGTTATATTTCCGAAAACTGAAACATGAAGTTCAAAAATTATTATTCTTGATAGTAAATCATTTGAGAGTAGGGATGTAACGATGACGACCTACCATCCATCGGTCTGATGTACAAACTGACAGTGAGCGCATAATAAAGCTATTTTGGTCTATAACCGATATCGGTTTTTTTTCAACAGAGGGACCCACTGCGAGAAACTAGTTGAATTTTCTCGAAATAGATTAAAGGTTTTCGGGATCCAGAAATCCAAATCTATAGAAGGTTTGTCGAAAATCTCGTTTGAAAAAAGCTGACTTCTCACGGTTCGTAATATTCAACTATTTTGTTGAAAGACACCTCTCCAAATCGAAAAAAGTCTAAGATCATTGTAGTTTTAACCTCTTTCATCATTATTCTGTAGTGCATGTGTGAAGCAATACAGTGCTCTACCTAAAACCAGCGCATCGCTATTAGGAGTGAACGATGAGGATTCTCACCGTTGCATCACTATTTGAGAGTGTCAACAGACCAGCTTCTATGAATTTCTTTTAATGTGTTCTTGTTGCTGATCGTATTCTATTCAAGTTATGTGAAATAACTAAAGATGCGCTATTATAGACGAGTATCAGTAAGATGGGATGATAAGAAAAGTAGGAAAAAATCCAAATCTAAGGTTCAACGCTCATAAAAAATCATTCTTTAATCTTCTTTACACATGATATATTGAAATACTTTTCTCATGTGATCGATAATTCCTACAAATAAATGAATATCTTCATATTTTACCATTTTCCATGGCTTCTCCTAATTTTATAGAAGTTTCATGATTAGGTCCATCTGATTTAACAGCATTATTATAAGCATCTCGTAGACGTGTTAATTCGTCACTAATCTAAATAAATATAATTGTTTAATTATTATTGATTTATTCTTTACTTTTTTTTTAAAACTAACTTTTACTAATATTCTATGAAGTCTATGTACTGAAATTGAATAACTAAAATGTGACATAAAAAATATCTCGGTAATAAAATTAAATGTTATTTGTGGATTTTTTTCTTCTTCATTTTCGTCTTGACGATTAATTAATGGTGTTTCTTTATAAAGCTCTACAAAAAAAAAAGAAATTTAATCAAAAATTTTCATTTTTTAAATAATAAATAATTACCTTTCAAATGAACTTTTTCATTTTGACTAATAGCATAAAGAGGATTTATTTTTAATAATCTTGATGAATAAGGTTCAGCAAATGGTTTTGCAAGACTAAGTAAAACAACATTTAAATTAAGTAGAAAACCATCACTAACAAATAAAAATGCAGCTAATGGATCATGAGATGACCATTCTTGATTTTTTCCTAAAGAAAAAGAAAAATCAATTTTATATAAATTATGCAACGAAGTTTATTTACCTTGATTTGTATCAAAACAATCACCAATCCATTGTAAAACATCATTTCGTGCATCAGCATTTTTAACACAAGCTTTAAATAGTTGTGATAGATGATCTTGATATGTTTTCATTGGCTTAATAGAAAAAAAAGAAAAACAAATTTTTCAATAAACAAAAATTATCTGTTTAGACTTTTTGCTTACCTGCCACACTGTTGTAGCTGTTATTTCAATATTACGTTCACTCATTAATTTAGGTTTATTAAAAAATAAAAAAGGTTTTCCAGGTATTGAAGGTAAACATGATTTTGATAGAAGACTACCAATCAATGTATCTTGAAATGCTCTACCACTTGTTGATGATATATCAGTATTTCTTGATGAACGATTAGATAATGTTTTTGGGTGAGATAATCGAAAGATGATCTAAACAAAGGAAAAATATTTCAAGGACGTTACCAGATTTGGTGACCTATCTTGAACTAAGATACTGTATATGTGATGATTTTTGTAGAGCGACTTGCGGCACATCGAGTGGTATGTAAATTGTGATCTCTAATATGTTCTGCCGATCATAACTGAGTAACCTAGTTGTTTGATTCGTATCCCCAAGCTATTATGTGTAGACTTCAGTACCACCAGCAATTAACACCTACTCTCATGATTAGTTAGTGAGTACGAGAAGCTCAAGAAATTGATCACCATAACTCTGCAATCTATAGATATCTCATGTTCATCTCAAAAATAATTTTTCCATAATCTCGTACTTTCCTCTCGTGATCTGCAGACCAAAGACTTTTTTTTCAACTGCTAAAGGAGTTATTTATATCAATCAAACAGGGGTACTATACTGACTATTCCTACACGAAAATTTTTATTAAAATGAATGAGTACTGTTAAAATATCGTCAATACATCGACCGCTTCATATTGGCAAAATAGGCTATTCTTCGAGACAATTTTGTAAGTTAACAGCAAGTCTCTCCTAATTCAAACAATGTTATGTATGAAACAGATAGAGCTCGATAGTGTGCAATTTTTCAGAAAGTTATATGTTGGTATATACTTGTTGTGTAGCACAAAGTTGAAGACACTGAAATGTTATACAGACAAGAAATAATCTAGATTTAAGAAAAAGAACCATTTATAAAATATGAAGAAGGCAACGAAGAAAACTATTGATTATAGAAAATCGAAGAGCACTCGAAGCTATATCAAGTTAAGTTTAAAAACAATATCTGCATAAGTTTATCTTCGAGACTACAGGGTCTATGAATACTATTAATATTTCACAAGAATTATGACCAGATTATGAACTCTCAGAACATCATAATTTGAGAAAAACTTAATTTCTTATACATCATTCAACAGATCTCAAACAGCTCTACAAGACCATATATATGGTATCCCGGTTCAATATAGGTCCTCAAATGCAACAAGATTCTTTAAATTAAAATAAAACTATTTTTTCATGTACTTGAACAAGTATTGACCATTGTGATAAATGAGTTAATACGGAAATGTAAGAAATCACTTCATTAGAAAAATAGTCTAATGGGTAAATAGCTTTATACATATAATAAAAAACTGTTTTATAAAAACTTTCAATTTCATTAGTCATCGACGATAAGAGTTCATTATTAACGCGATCAATATATTCACATAATATTGAATTATCTAAATAAACACGTAAATTTTCTTTCATAGAAGAAAACTATAAATTTATATTTTTTTTTTACCATTAGATTCAATTAATAACTCTATCCATTGTTTAGATAAATCTTGATCATCATACATACTTGGTAATATTATTGCTGTTTTACCATGATCGATAAATAAGTTTTGTATATGATCTAATATTAATTGAAAATGATTCTAAATAGAATTTTTTTTCTTAATTTAATCAATAGATCGATCAATATTTTACTCGTTGTTGTAACAATCTTTGATAACATCCAGATAAATAATGTAAGCAACGATTTTCAGTTATGATCTCATGTGCTATTGATGAACTCTTCGTAGTTGATGTTATCAATTGACTTGATGGATCAGACATACGAAGGCGTTCAAATAATGCTTGATCAACTCGATTTTTATCCCATTTTTCAATATCTAATGATGCTAATTCAGTTAAATATATCTTTGATGATGAAGAAGTCGATGGTTCTTCAGTAAGTGTACATAATAGAACAAGTTCAATAATGTCTTTATAAAAATTGGAAACGGAAGTAACTAAAGAAAATTTTAAACTAAGACATGATTCATATGAAAAATATTTATTTTTATTTACGATCAACTGTCTTTACAATTGATTTCGCAGAAGACGATTTTGAAGATGATTTGGACATTATTAAAAGACGAAGTTAGTATAATATTTATAAAAACCTCATTAGGACATCTTAAAAAATAGGATTATAACTTATTAGGAAGTGAATGACTAAAAGAAAACAGAACAGGGTGTCATTCGTTTGCAGGTATTTTAAATAGAAAAATATTTGAGAGAAAAGATGTCACTAGAGATTTAAATAAAAACCATAAATAAAGAGAAGTTATTGTTATATGAAATAGAAAAGCTAGTTTCTAAGAGAGTTCCCAAGATGAAGTGTACGAAATCTCTATACGCTTCATACTTCACCCTATACGCCAAAATACAATGATTGACGGTCGTTTACAAGTGTGCTTGTTTCACCTTCGTTATATCGATCGAATTATATACACGAACATCGCCCATTCATCCAGCACAGTTATTTTTCGCCAGTATAGAAATCTGAGATTCTTCATAATCTCATCATTTTATAAGTTTCTAAAGTTGATTACCACACAATTTATTATCACTAAGGCTGGCACATTAAATCAAGAATTGAAAATGAGTTATTAAAGTATTTAAAATAATCAATGTAGCAGTTAAATTGCATGTTTAAACTTGACTCGATGGATTGCTTCATTGGTAGATAAATATGTATAGAAACTAATTAGTACGAAATTGTATGACGACGAAACATATCAATCCAAGACTTACTGAAAGTTATCAAACATTCATAAAAAGAAAACTGAATCACTCAACTCTATTTATATGTTTTCATTGTTTTTTATGTGTTGATATATGACGATGATTAAGAGTTTAATGTGTAACGTTCTCATTCAAGTGAACGTTCTCGAAATGATTTTTTACCATAAAAACGTATTCTGATTTTTAACATTAGTATTATTATTCTTTTTTTATGACGAGTGGACTGCTCGAATTCATACCTGCCCGTGTGATCTCGTATTGAGCTTACAAGGAAGCCTTGGTGAACCTAACAAAAGACTAAAGGACTTTGTTCCCATGGGTCTTTCGAACTCAGATATGACTTGTTTTACTGAATTTTTGACTTGTAAAGGAACCTCATCAGCTGCTCCTTTCTGATTTCAATGGTTTTTTTCCCTTATAAATACTACAGAGTGTTCCAATAAAAACCCTTAACGGATTTGGGCTTCTTGGGCATTTGACTAAGATATCGAATTTTCATATGAAACGTTGTGCATTAGAAAAGTCAATTAGACTAGCTTCTATAAAAGTTGCAGAAGTTTTGAACTAACACTCTTCGAGACATGCGACATGCACAATATGGATCCTTTTCCATGGATAGTGTATACAACATGGTTTTTTTTATGGAAGTTAATCTAGTTAAGTTCTTTATATGCATTAAGTTTCAGATCAAAGTTCGATAGCTTAGTTATATCTGAATAGAAGTCCAAATTCTTTGAGGTATTTTATTAGAACACTAGGTAGTATCTATATGCAAAAAGTCATTGAAATCGCAAGGAACTAGTTAAAAAGGTTCCCTCATTAGTGTCATTCAACCAGTCTATGAGTAAAATTTCAAGTTAAAATTTAAAATTTTTATTTTTCAGTATATACTTAAAGCTTAGTCGAAAATTCACCAGTACATTCAAAACTCGACTTTAAAGATTCATGGCGACATTGCTAGTCTAAAATAATTTGAAACGACCAGTGGTTTTCTCATGAGTCATTCTCTGTATTTTGAACGTTCCATGATGATAGCACTATTTCAAAAAATAGGCCTACAAGATTTGTTCTATTCATCAGATATTGCACATTCGGTCGAAAAAAAAACAAATTGAGTACATTTATAATTGTATCGTCTTTATATTCCTTTCACAGTTCTGTAACGATCAGTATTTGAAATCAAGCTGTAATTTAGATGTACAAAATTACAAAAAAAGGAAAACAAAACGATTTAGTTAAGTAAACGATGTACACCAAAAAGTCTCCATGCTGATGAATCAATAGTAGGTTGCTGTTGTTGATTTGGTCTACGCCAATTATTATTTGTTTTAATTAATGATGGAAATGTATAGAGTGAAGTAAGTGGTTCAGTTTGAGGTGGTTTATTTATTGCTGATGATGATGATGATGATTGATAATCTTTATATGTAAAATTTTGTTGTGGATTTGATATTGATTGTTTATTTGTAGAAATTACTGGATTTGTATTATAACGTTGAAGACTTGGAAAAGGACTTAAAGAAAAGAGTCAATTTAAAGAAATAAATAATAAAAGTTTTACTTGTTTTCATTAAATAATTCAGATTGCGTTCGATGAATGTATGGTGCTGAATGACTAATTTCATCTTAAATCAAGAATATAAACAAAAATAAAACAGAGTTTTTTTTTTACATACTAGTTTTAGTTGGTTCACGTAGTAAAGAATTTTGATTATAATGATGACCATATGATGTTGTAAAAGCTGAAAAAGGTTTTCGTTCATTATTAACCGATGAATTTCTAATTTTATGAAATAAAAAATTAGCTTTCTTCTTGTATATTAAATAAAGAATACTTACCCAATGTTTGTAAGTTGCCGTCGATTATTAAATAATTCATTTTCATCAGATAATGTTCGTAATCTATTACAACGATTACCTTCATTTTGTTCTGTTAATGGTCGACGATACTGTTGTTGCTGTTGTTGTTGTTGTTGTTGTTTTTCTGATGATAATAACCAATTTGTTGATTCTTGACGTCGGAATAGATCATTTGGTAAACTTGTATCATGACGTTGTCTTGAGGCTGATAATTTTCCATTTTGAGAAACTGAAAAAAGAAAATTTGAAAGAGAATTTTTCTTTTCTGTATTCTTTTTCTTACTAGGTGATCGATTAAAGAATGCATTGAAAACAACAAAATTATTAACTTGACGTATTGGTGCCGATAGATTATAATGTTTTTGAAGAAATCCAAGACATTTATTCGATGGACGATCGATAGCTAATTCATATGCATTACATTTTTCAAACTAATAAACAAAACAAACTAGAATAATAAAAAATATTTCAATAAATTTACTTCAAGCATAGCTTCGAATAATTTTTTTCCATATCCTGATCGTTGCTTACTCTCATGAACAAAAAAATCTAATACACATAATGGAGTTCGTTCATGTACTTGACCATGTGAATCATAAACAAATAAATGTTTTGCACCAACTTTTAATAAACCAATAACAGAACCTAAGTTACTAAAACACAAACCAGGAAATCAAATATCTTCGAATAGAAATTCTTATACTTATGATCAGTTGAATTCTTGACAAGATACAAACGATGATCTGTTATACGAAATTTACGTGCAGTAGTTACAGGACCAGGTAATCCTTGTGCCTGAATATGAATAACAGAAAAAGCAACGATTGAAGTTAATAGAAAAAATGTTTGTTTTTTCTATAAAAGTGTACTTTATATGAAGCTTCGCCCACAGCATCAATAATAGATGTCAGTTTGTCCGAAGCCCTAAAAAAAATACAGTAACAAACACATTCGCAGATAACAAGTAAAGACAATACAAACAATATTCTAGCTGTTTGTCCATGGTTAAGTATTCGATAATCTCCATTAATTATAGTAATTTCATGAGGTAATACAGCATTAATATCAAATGGAAATTCCATCGTTTGAGTTCTTCTTTTTCTTTCTTCCAATAAAGTTTACAGTAACTCAATAACTGTTACCATTACCTTTGTCGTTCCTATGAGTAACAACCTCTTCTTTTCTTCACTCAAATGAAATATGAGAATATCAAACAAATAATAGAATTTATGAGCATGATCATATAACAAATACAGTTGATGAAATTTTTCATTAAATAATTAATTCATCACGATTTATGAAAAAAAATCCATAGTTTATCAACGGAAAAAAAAAATTTTAATAGGGAAAACAGATAACTGCTCGCTATTTAGACTTATAAAATAATCTTGAATATAATAAATTAGTTTCTTTCAAGAGAATGATTTTCATCTTAAACCGATTGATTTCATTGTTCTATTATAAATGACAAGTTGTATTCAATGAAACATACATATATGTATGAGTCATACGGACAAGCAGAATCATCTCATAAAAAATAATTAAAGTCTACACTCATTTTGCGAAAGATTTCAATGGGTAAAATACAATTAATTCATATAGATTTTCATAAAAACAACAAAATATAGGTTTTTAGACGTGTCACACAATGATGTTCATTCGCTAAAGATAAGTCGTGGAGAGTTCGAGAACATCAAAAGGCTTTTGGTAGGATCCAGAAAATTGACTTTGAAAATCTTGGTTTTCCAGAGATCTTTCACCAAAAACTGGCTATGGTAATCTGGCAAGTGGTTCTTCAGCTAGAAAATTGTAACAGTCAATCAAATCTTCTGTCAAATTCGTGTATTTAACATAAATGTTTTATGTATGATCATTTAATAGATCAAAGAATTGTACAATTTTGTTTGATGGACAAATGATGAAACAAAAGATTCGATACGTAACAATATTTTTTGTGGATAGTTGTTTCGTGATTAGTTGACACTCAAAATATCACAAGCTAAAGAATATATCTACTCAAATTATTTTAACTTGTTCCTCACTTGTCTATAATAGTCACAAACTCAGCTCTTTCTAAGCCAATATTAAAAATACTAAACAAAGTCGGATAATAAAAAAAACAAATTTCTATATAAATGTTCATTCCTTAACTGACTATAAATAAGATAGAATCTGGTAAATTTCACTTCTCCTTTAGTATATGTGCTACTAGTCCAAATTTGACAGTTGAGACGAAAAAGTTCTTCGGATGCAGAGTTTAAGTAACATTATTGGTAAAAATTCGCGTAAAAAGCATTTTTCTTTGCCTCTTTGTTTGGATCTTTTACTTTTCAATTGATATTTGCAACAACTGAAGAAACATTTCATCATTTATCTTGATAGTCTATACAAAAAAAATCGTATATAATAAGAACATTCAATCCCTTGTCAAATTAACTTCTTTAAGGTCAACGCAAAAAAAATTGAACGTCTTTATTGCTAAACAGTCGAAGTCGAAGTCATCTGGAATCAGCAGTGTTACATATTCAAAATTTTGGAGATACATCCACGTCTAGCGCGGGAGATGCGCCATTTACTGCGAGAGATGTAGGCGCATCTCCAAAATTTTGGATATGCGACACTACTCTCTGAAATTTAGGTACTAGATCAATTCGTCGCAATCAATTCGTCGCACAATCAATTTGTCGCACGTCAATTTGTCGCAATCTATTCGTCGCATCTCTCATTATAAATTTCCCGTATCAGAGTTTGATCTTGCGGGAAAATGATACATAGACAGAAATGAAATGACGTATTCAGAGAATAGAAAATAACAACATCTTGCAATTTCATCAAACTACAGAAAAAAAACCGATGTTTTTGTTCGTTTTTCGACGAAATTTTAAATAGGACGTATGTATTCCACCTGTCTCCAACCAGTAGTGTCAAACTTGAAACTTGAGTTCAATTGAGTTTTCAAGTTTCAAGTTTCAAGTTTCAAGTTTCAACTTTCAAGTCTCAACTTTCAATCTAATTTCAGATGACTTTTCCGGCCAGTCCTTTCGCGGCACCCACAGCCGCTGCAATGTGATGTGCGCATAGTGTGGCCACTTCTTTCGCGATCAGTCCCTTCGCGGTCAGTCCTTTTGCGGCCAGTCCTTTCGCGGCACCCACAGCA